AAAGGTTCTTCCCTGTTACAGATCTAAGCATCCGTGGATTGCAGACTTCTCATATTTAAACTCTTCTTACCTGTTTGTAAGTTCAGTCATTCAAAATGGTTTGTATTGTGGGGCTCGCCTCTGATTCTATTTACTTAAATATTATTTATGTTAAGTTCCCTCTACCATTTCAAAGAATAGCATGATATGAGAGCCTTTGATGATACTTGATGTAATGACGTCATCAAACAATATTTGAAAGCAACTCGCCCACAATATGGAAAATGCAATTTCAGGATATGTTCCAAAGAAAGCCACATTAAGAAGTAGTGGCGTAGAGTATAGGCAGAGGGTGATATATTTTATATCTACTGTGTATAGATGCAAAATAAAAACACATGGGAGATACTCTTATAGGATTAGGAATATCCCCTCGCAGTGTTTGTTGTGAGGTCCTTCATACTCAAGATGACACTGAGCAGATAGATAGGCCCAATCGGTCTCTGGATATAAAAGTCACAAAAAATAGTATGATCCAGTATATAAATATGATTATGGACAGTCCCTGAAAGGCATGTATTCCTGGATCCTAAAACAATCTGGTTGGCAGTTTTAAAGATCATTTTGTAGCTCCAAAGTGTCAAGTTCAGGAACACATACGAAAAAAATTCAAGAAACATGAATCAAAACTATTGTTTCACATCACAGTGATTAGCAAAATGCACATTTCTAAGTCTAAGTTAAGTTGCTTTCTTAAATGAGTAAAAAAAGAATTGCTTCTTGTAAGCCTGGATCATGTATCTTACACCATAGTGACTGACTACAGGTCTTGCACTGGGTAAGTGCTGTTTCCCCAGCGTAGAAAGTATTTGTACTTTCAAGGAAAATATCTACAGGGTCATTCAATATGACGGGTGAATTTTTGTTTTCATGATCTATCTATCTGGACTTTCTGAGTGTGACTCCAGAGCCCTCTTTTTTGCCCTCCTTCCTTATTGGATTATGAGCAGCCCAGGCAGGTCTCATGATGTCATAAAATCAGGCAGTAAGCATGTAATGCATCATAGATACTTCTTTATATATTACAGACATTTGAAGATTCATTAACTAAGATAATCACGTGAGAGTGACTAACACAGGGCCTGACACAGAGTCAGACCCTCAATAAAAGTTCATTTATTTCCTTCACTTCTTCCCACCCTCCTTCACTCAGTCTGGCTGTCTGGCTGGCTGTCTGTCTCTCTCTTGCCTCTGCATTGCTACATTGGTGGAGACAGTCTAATCTCTTCATGATGGAATGAACGTGATCATCAGCCTCAATTGTGGAATTTGGGATACGTAATATAGCACCTGTCTGGGCTCTACTTTTTCTAGTTGCATAATGGAGAATTCACTGTCTGACCCACTGTTTTGCAAGGGGAAGTTGCAAGAATCAATAACATAATAGACAGGCTTTCCCTCTGCATATTCTTTAGGGGTTTGTGACCTTTAAATATTTCATATATGCTTCTCCAGAGTCCACAATAATGCCTGTGAGGTTATACAGTACAGTTCAAGGATGAGCTCACATCTTACAACATCAGATACATATACAATTTAGGAATCTGTATGCAAGAAAAAAATGCCAATGCTAACTTAGGTCCAGAAGTGAATCTTTCTATAGGATAAGAAAGAAATTATGACAAATTACAAGGACTAAAGGCCAACAAGCACCATAAATGTCACAAAACCCAGAAAAATAACATAATGGTTCCATTCATTAACTGTCTAACATCTCCCCTAAAATACTACTTTTTGGCTGCATACTTCTTTATATGCCTATTTTATAATAGAAGAAAAAGAAAGTGCATTCTTTTATATAGCATGGTTGTCAGAAATTGTTTTTTACTATCAATAGTTTAGAAAAGCTTCAGTCCATTTTTCTCTTCAATGACAATTTTGATGTGTTGCATCATCTGGAACCACCAGACTCCATCAAGACAAGGCATATCAGATGAGCTAAAACAAAATCCTATACATTAGGATATAAAAACAAGTGACACCACATGGTCATACTCATTGTTCAGAGCCCCATTACAGGCTTGCAGCTAAAAACACAGGAGTTCTTAAATGCTATTTTGCATGATTCACATCAAAAAAGGAAATTAATGGTGCCTTACTTTATAATTGCAGAAGCTGTTTAATCAAGTAGGATATTTCATTTTGACTAGATTTCAATGAGAATGGAATTCTCCACTTATAATTCTACACATCTAGGGATTGGAAGGATATCCCACAAACTAGTTCTGGCTCTTTACATTTAAAGTTTTTCTCTTTTTCTTCCATGACCTACATCCTCTTGTACCATAGGACAAGTCAATATTGCAATTTGACTTCTCTCTCTACACCCTTGGTCAAGACCCCGGGTGAGCTGGTAAAGTGGACAGTAAGAGAACTCAGGGTTATCTATTCCGACCCTGGGAGGGTGAGAAAAAACCTAACTACACATAAAAGCAACTGTGAAACACATAAATAACCCCCTAGACCCAAACCAGGTGTATAGCCAACTGAACTCTCCCTTTAGCCAGATTCTCCAAAATGTTGATCCACCACTACCTTCATAACAGGGGAAGTCAGAAGGCAAACAGAGCAGACATAACTGATTATGGTGAAAATGGTTTAATTTGGCAAATTTTCCAAAAGCATGTGACCATGTGAACACATTCCTTGAGCGTCTCCCTTGGAAGGGATACATACACATGTGGGACCCAGAAGTGTAAAGCTTCATGAACTTCATGGTGAATCTGCCTCTAGTACAGATTTGAGGTCAGACACACTAAGATCAATCCTTTCCTAGTTTTATGGCATTCACTAAGTCCCTGAGCCAATCCAAACCTCAGTCTCTTCATCTGGAAAATAGATATGATAAAACGTGTCTTATATGATTGGTGTGATGTTTAAATGAAAATTTATGTATATAAATTTCATATTCTAAGCACTCAATAATTGGCAGCTATGTTTATTAGTAGATTAAATGCTCGGAATTTGTCACCCCTTATAAGATAACAAAACACTCTGCACTATTACCTAAAATAAAGCTTTGGTTTCCAACACCTACCATCCTACATCTGTTCATTTACTTTATTCTCCTATCCCAGAACACACCCTTCTGTCATCTTCTAATTCAAAGCCTATGTGTGTATCCTTACAGACCCAGCTGAGATCTTGCCTGTTCTTTCTAGTTTTTCAGATTTTTAAGCACTTGTTGCTAAGTCTATTCTTTGACGTTTATAGCAGCACTGTCCAATAGAAATATAAGGTGGGTAATAAGGTGCATCTGTAATCTTAAATTTTATATAGTCAGGTTAAAAACCTATAAAGAATTAAAGCCAGGTGAAATTAATTTTAATAATATTTTAATTTAACCCAATGTATCTAAAATATTATTTTAACATGTAATCAATATTTTAAAATTATTGAGATATCCTGCATTCCCTTTATCATACTATGTGTTCTAAATTCAGTGTATATTTTACAATTATAGCACATTTTTTAAAAAACATTTATTTATTTATTTATTTTTGGCTGCGTTGGGTCTTCATTGCTGCGCACGGGCTTTCTTTAGTTGCAGTGAGCGGGGGCTACTCTTCGTTGCGGTGTGCGGGCTTCTCATGGCTGTGGCTTCTCTTGTTGCAGAGCACGGGCTGTAGGCACACGGGCTTCAGTAGTTGTGACTCGCGGGCTCTAGAGCACAGGCTCAGTAGTTGTGGCGCACAGGCTTAGCTGCTCCACGGCATGTGGGATCTTCCCGGACCAGGGCTCAAACTCGTGTCCCCTGCATTGGCAGGCGGATTCTTAACCACTGTGCCACCAGGGAAGTCCCATTTATAACACTTTCAACTCACAATAACCAGATTTCTTTTCTTTTAATTTATTTATTATTGAGGTAACATGGCTTTATAATACATGTTTCATGTGTACCTTATATCTCTATTCTTTATACACTACAGCATGCTCATCACCAAAAGTTTAGTTTCTATTCATTACAGTACCGTACAGATGATCTCCTTTACCCGTTTCACCCTCCTCACCCTCCCACTCCTTCCCCTCTGGTAATCACTACCCTGTTCTCTGTATCTATGTGTTTGTTTTTGTTTGGCTGCGTTTGTTCATTTATTTTGTTGTTTTGCTTGTTTGCTTGCTTGTTTGTTTTTTATATTCTACATATGATTGAAATCATATGATATTTGTCTTTCTCCATCTGACTTATTTCACTTAGCATTATACCCTCAAGGTTCATTTATGTTGTCACAAGTGTCAAGAGTTCATTATGGCTGAGTAATATTCATATATATATATATATATATATATATATATATATGATGTATGTATATATCACATCTTCTTTATCCATTCACCTATTGATGGATACTTTGGTTGTTTCCATATCTTAGCCCACAATAACCTCATTTCAGATGCTCGATAGCCATATGTAACAAGTGCCTGCCATATTGGACAGTGCATGTCTAGACCATGAATAGTTCGCAGCATACTATTTAATATGTTCTTATAGAGCACTATTATGTTTGCTGGTCTTTCCTGTGTGTCAGTCCTTTTCCAGCTAGTCTTTACATTCTTTGAAGAAAAGAATTCCTCTTAGAGTTCTGTATCTTGGAATGCAGTGCCCAAACACCGTGGTCATTCAGTACGTTTTGCTGGTCAACAATTTGAATGCATTTTAAATCCCAGAAGGAAAAAAATGCCACAGATAATGTGATTTTTTCCACTTGTGCTACATTTATTGCTCCATAAGTGTTGTTTATCCCAGGATGTAAATTCTCAGAGTATGAGGAATAATGCCATTTGTAGTCCAGTATTAATAAATCTGCTTTGGTGTTAGTGTGAATAATGCAAAATGCAAAAACAAGGGGGAATAATGTACGTGGTAATGCTTTGCTTATGGAGTAAATGATCAGATTAAGGTGTTTCTAGGTATGAATGGAGAGTAATATAATCTCACCACCACATCTAAAAGTGGGGCTCCAGTTTTCCAAATGTTTACTTACCACAAAAAATAGTAGTTCACTTTTGATTTGCAACTCTGCCGTGGAAGGAGAAGTAGCTTTCAAGACACAACAAGGGAAGTCATACCCAATGGCGTACCACATCTAGTGTGCTACATGACCCTCAGGTCTTTCCACAAAACTTTGAAACTATAACATGGTAAAGAATTTGTCTCACCTCTGGGCAAATTTTTTTAAATTCGGATAAGAATCAAGTTATTTAGAATAAATATAAAATACTTTCAGACCATATAAACCCATGTTGCAATAATAGTGTAGACTCATGTGGAAGCTAGATTTACAAACATAGTCTTTGTTTCGTATGGTCACATAAGAAAACACAGTTTATAATACGGAAAATTTCCAAGTTACGATGAAAGGAGCAGAGATTTTTTAAAAGGTATGACTCATCCAGTGAATCACTAAATATCCTGGAAAAGGGTATTTTTGTCATTTCATAGTTATATTGGCTAAAAAAAAAACCTTGAAAGTATATCCTGATTATCAGGTTGACAACAGTCAGTTCTTTCCATATTATATTACATTATTTGACTGAAAATGTGTTTTGTCTTATTTCTTTTTCTGTATGTAATAAAGATAAGGCAAAGTAGAACATTCCAAAAAATGTACTGACATCTGCTCTCATGTTGAAAAGCTGCCTCCCAAACTTATCCTACGAAATATGTTCACAGACTTAACAACTAAAGGTAACCTTAATTACTTCTCAATATTGGAGCATTTCATTTTATTTTTTGAAGGACTGATACAGAGTGTATTGAATCGATTTTTCTATTTTAAATTGAGATCACATCTACATACTATTTTGCTCATCTCCATGGGTACATTACTTCTAATGAGTGTAGACTTACAATAATTGGGCTCAATCATACAAAAACACATGCACACACTCACACTAATTGTTTTAAAACAGTAGTGTGTAAATTATACTCCTCCTATAAAGCCAGCTTTGATTAAAACCTGTTAGTTTCAAAGCTCAGTCTGATTTTGAAGATGAACCAAGATACATACTGTATGATTCTAAAATCTATTCTAGCCATTCCCTATGATAGTTTTCCTATCAAAATCTTAACAAAAGCCTTGAGCAAATTCCACATTCTCCATCAAGCCCTCCTGAACAGAGACTCCTCTTCATTCTCTGAATTCTCTTAGAAACTTCCATGTGCACTCAATCGTGGTATGTATCGTAATCTTCTACTCATTATCGTTCTTTTTCCACATGCCTCCATCCGAGCTCTGCAATACAAGCATAAGCTTCTTAAAGCATAGGCCATGTCTTATTCATCTCCTGTAGCTCTCAGCAGAGCCTTGGATAGAATAACTATTCAATAAATGTGCTAGAAATCATGATGATTTTGATCATGATTTACAGGAATATCATTCAGCAGACCAGTGATGTGTTAAAGCCATGTCAGTCATTTTGAACATACAGTAAGAATTTTATATTTCTATCTATTCCAATTCCATCCCTTGACTATCTTTTTAAATAAAAATGCTTAATGTTTCATCAGCATTTTCCTCCCCAAAACTCAGGTTGAATTTATTTTAAAAAATTAAAAATAAAATCCAATGAGTCTAATCACATTCTAGTGTCAAACAAAGCTTTTTCTCCCTTACAGTTATATTTTAATGTTTTTTAGTGTCTAACCATGTTAAGATTCCAGTGTACAAATACATATATACTGTGGGTTTTTTCCAAATTTAATAATATCCTAAAACCTAATTTTGTGTATTGGATTCATTTAAAATGTGGTTGCTACCCAACAATTTTGGAGGAAACTATATTACATCAGACGTAACATTTAAACTAAACCCAGAAGTTAAGACTCTATAAATAAGAAAAACAGAATGACTCCAAATAAGAAGCATGAAAGCCAAAGGAAGTTAACATGCAGCACAAACTCATTTGGCCTCATGAACACTCCACTCAATGGACGCAGCTGTGAGAAAATGAAGCGTGTGAAATGCACTGACCAAATGCAAGTGTGTGTCCTTACTGATGCCAGACTATAGAAATGGCTCAAGACTAAGAGGCCATCGATGAGAAGAAGGCTTGGATTAACTGTGGCCTTGAAGGTACCCCTGGAAAGTGAATAGCACTCAGTTGTGGGAGGTGCGTTAACCTCTTCAGACCACTAGGGTTCAAAGTGTTCTATAAGGGGTAATTTATTAAATGGGTCCTAATTGCTTGTTAATGTCCCTTCCAAAAGTCACTTCTCTATGCTATGATTAGGCCTGGGATTTGCCAAGTGCTGTCATTCTCTTTGTAACTCCATAATGGAACTCTAGGAAGTGGGAAGCTGACCCATCAGACAGCTACATATCTAATCGGGGTCCAGAGTCCTACCAGCAAAGCCAGGCAACATTTCATTTAACCCTCCAGCATGTAAACACAGAGACTCAAAATTGATACACCTTGTAGTAAAATATGCCTTTTACTAAATGCGTATACATTTAAATAGAACATGGATAACTGGTTTTATTGTTTTGAAAAGAGAGACACATTTTTAGGATTTGTGAATTTGTCCATTTCACTAAATTCTTTCTTGAAAATATAAAAGTAATCATGCTTTTTGTTTTCACCATCTACAAACAGATTTTCTTTTGGCCTTGTTGTTTCCTATGAAAGCCAAACAATGTGACTTTCTTACTGGGTTCCAACACAAAATTGCATCTGTTTTCACCAGTCATCCATTCGGTATCACTGATACACATCAGGACCACTTGGACACTGGCTTTGTTAATTAGCAAGGCCAGCAGAGGGAGTACAAGAGCATTGTTACAAAAACAAAATCAAAAGAATTTTAAATGATAATAACAACTAGAAGTAGAAAATCTGAAATTAAACTACAGAGGATAAGACAGCAGAATCTAAATATGGAAGCACCTTGGTAATATCACAGAGGGAATAAGCTAGAACTGAAGAGACAGGGCTTAGTCACTGCCATATTCTTATGATATTCATGAACTCACCAAATATAGCTGTGCCTCACTTTTTTAGTCTTGAAAATGGCTAGCACAGGAACTTCCATTAAGAAAGGCTTTTGTCCTCCTTATGAAAGAGTGATTACTTAAAGATTGAGAATTATTGTCACAGGAAAGAAGCTGATGCCATTTCTGTCTTTCAGGGCTCTGGGTCATTTCTTAGATTTGACGAAGATGAAAAACACCTGGGTAGCATCCCCTCATACCCTAAGAACAGAGGTTTGACTTGATCATGGAGTTAGACATACATCTTTTTAACATGAATAAATAAAAATGATTAAGTTTCAAAGTAGCATGGGGATGCCTTTTCACAAGAGAGAAATTATATATTCTAATCCCATACTTTGTTTTACAACTCCTATTTCCAGACTATTTAAAGAAGCTACACATTTTCCAAACATGTTTTCAGACTATTTGTTACAATGGAATTGTTTCAATCCACCAGTCAATGGTTTATGGTTATTTAGAACTTCAATTTTACCCTTAAGGTAATGTGCTAGAATTGTGTTTTCCAGAAGTCTCCAGTTGCATTTCTTATGAGATATTTTGTGTAACCTTCATAACCACTTTTTTCCAAAGCGCATCTTTGAAAAAACGATAACCAAAACAAGTCAGGCTTTATACCATACTGAGCTAAATAAAATCTTTCTTTGTTTTAGAAGTTTGGGATAATCTTGAGGACAGTGCAACTTGTCTGGAAGTTTGGCAGGGAAATAGTTTGGAAAGTAAATATTCAGTTCTGCTTTCTCCAGTAGATGTCACTTTCTGTACATAGGATATCAAGATATATAAGATGCACAGTATTCCTTACAATGATGGCAAAAAATAACTTTGAGTTCCAGTCATATATAACAATTTTAAAGCTTTCATTGGTATTCTCTAGTGTTAGGAAACTTAAGAAATAATAAAAGCAAAGTGAATGCTGTCATTTAACCATCTTACATATTTCTGTTTAGCCTTAACAATGGCCATTAAGCATAACATATGATATAATATTGCTAGTGCCTTTTCAACAGTTAAAGAAAGCTAAGTATTATCCCACATCACAGCATAAAATTAATTTGCCAAAAACAAACATGGTTCCTGAGTAAATAAGCAGTCATTAATAATACACTGCATACTTACCAAGAACCTAATTAAATCTGAGTTCACCTAACCTATTATGATTTTAAATGTTATTCTTCCTGTTCCTCGATATCATTTTGATATTCACATCAGCTCCATGTGTCTGAGGAATAAAATATGATTCTCTGAAGTGTTTCACTATACAGCAAGAAATATCAGCACTAGAATGAGAAAGAAGGAAGGAAAGAAAGAAAAAGAAAGAAAGACCTTAAATCGCATTTTTTTTTTGCGGGGGGAGGGTACGGGGGGAGTGGGCCTCTCACTGTTGTGGCCTCTCCTGTTGCGGAGCACAGGCTCCGGACGCGCAGGCTCAGCGGCCATGGCTCACGGGCCCAGCCGCTCCGCGGCATGTGGGATCTTCCCGGACCGGGGCACGAACCTGTGTCCCCTGCCTCGGCAGGCGGACTCAACCACTGCGCCACCAGGGAAGCCCTTAAATAGAATTTTTATGGCATCCACATGTACAAAAATGAAAATCAAATTATGGAAGAATATTAATAGTTAGAATTAGGAATTAATTCTTCCTAAAATACTTTCCAAAATGCTCTTTGCATTTCTAAACGTAAGCTTCATTATGCTGTTCTATTTGTATTCCAACGCAGTTGAATTTTATATTTGAGTTGCTTTAATAGATGACTTTGAAATGACAGAGGAGAGTACATTTTTGTTTCTTACTGATCCAGTCAAGATTTTGCTTGTACCTACTGTTAACTTGAAATAATAGAAAAGGCTGCAGAGGCGTTTTAAAATGTTGACGTCTGGGTCACATCTGATTCAGTTGTTGTATTGACAAACGTGATTTGATAATTGTCAAATTAAGCTCAAGAGAAAATTAGTTAAACAATTACTTTTATTTGTAGATGCTTCAAACAAAAGATATGAAGTTTAGTAGCAAATAATGATAGGGTGCTAGAAACAAAAATGTCCTAAGAAGGCAAAATGGGCATGTGGCTTTTACAAAACAAAGGAATCTATCTGGTCATCAAAATAAACAACATCCAAAATGGTCTCTTTAGGTTTTAAATATTTTGTGCAGAGAGTAAACCCAAAAAGCTCGATTCTTATCTGAGGTAGAGATTTCTTGACTTGTTAACTGGGAAGTTCTGCTACCTTTCTTGTGTATACTTGGTTAAAACAAAGAGATTATAGGGTTTTGGGTAATAAAAGGATTTCGAAGCTTTCACCTTTAGGCTACATTCAACTCCAGTTCAGGTTAAAGAAACCAAAAGTCATGAATGTTCCCAGGCCATAGAGTTTACTTTCAATTCCGCCTAAATTCGGATCCCACTTCATAATAAAGCCTAAGGCATTTTTCAACTACTCAGAGAAAACATTGTTTAAACAGAAAGAATAGAAACAAACACATAGTAATGACTGAGGTGAATTCCTGAGGAAACAGACCACTGGTAACTCAGCTGAGCATTTTCAAGAAGAATGATGTCACCTCTGCATTCCAGTCTTATATTAGTATTGATCAACAAATAAATGCTAATCTAGAATTTTGAAAGGAAATCATGCCACAGTAATTATCTTGAAAACGAAAATCACTGGTTGATAGCATGTGGCTGAGTTACTATGCTTTGATCTGAACTCAGGGAAGAGCCATGCAAAACATACACCCTACAGCCAGTTGTGGGTAGTCTTTTCCTGTGTTTTACACAGGCTGTTCGTACCACCAGTCCTATTCAAACAAGAAGTCTCTGGAAGAGTAGAAATTCCTTAGCACCATGCCTATGTCTTTTTCTGTTTTTATACTTCCCTTTTCCCCATAGTACTTAATGCCCTATTTATTAAATAGATTGGAACAGAAAACTCAGGGCACTGAGAAATAGTCAGTTGCTTAATTCCACAGCCCTAATATTTTTAAAATTATGATATCATTACTATTATTTGTACCATGTTATATAATTCTTTCCTGTAAGTGATTTATCAAAGAATAAATGAATTAAAAATAAGATTTATAGCAGACATGTAAGATACATAAGTAAGTAAATAAATAAGATAGACATGTATTCTTCTTCCCTCTCTTTCTCCATAGATAACATTATCCTGAATTTTGTGTTAATCAGCCCCTTCCTTTTCTCTCTTTTTTGGAATAATATAAATGCTTCACAAGGATTTTGAGT